TCTTATTTGTTATCTCTATTAAGATTTTGTAATGCCAATTGAGATTATTATATATTATTATTATTATTTAATACCATAATTATAATAACCATCCCTACCATCCTCATTAATATGATGATGCTTACTTGCTATCATCACTACCATCATTAATAGCTTTGATAACATCCTGTCTGCGAGTATCATCAGCATGTCTGTAAACACAATGATAACCCCATACAATCACCACCACCACGATCATCATTTAAAGATGACATTGTTAATATCGATGCATATAAAAAAAAAAACTAACACGCTCATCAAGTTACATGTTTTTACAGTCTGCACAATGGCAAAAACAAAACCTTCAAAATCCTTTTTAGCAGAAACGTAAAATCAAATGGAGCCTCAATGTCCCAGTAAACACTTTGAAAGCCAATAAGCTAATTCGAAAAGGTTGCGAGCACATGATACTTCCGTATTAAAGGACAATTCATCCAATCTGGACAAATGATACAAAGTATGTTACATGAGAGTGAAGTATCGAATACCCAAGTTGCAATTTAAAGTCAAATGTGCAGGTAGGTGACTGGGGAACATTCAAGGGGAAAGGGAGGGAGATACGATAGGATAAAAACTTGATTGTCACAACAATAATATTGGTTCCTTTAAAAAAAAAGTCATTAGTAGAAAAAGGAAGGGAATATAATTAAAAGTAATTATAATAATTATAATTTACATTAAATTATAATGTAATTATAATTTAATTATAATGTAATATTAATTATATTTCACATTGAATTATAATGTAAATTATAATTTAATGTAAACACAATTTAATGTATGGGAAAAAAAACATCTAAAGCTAGGCACTTCGTACAACAGTCGGCAGCGAATCCGACTATGCTCCTTGTGAGCGCCAGATGACCAAACGCTGTCTGCTGATTATCGGTGGCAGTCTGAAAAGAACGTCAATAAAAACGATCCATTTTGCGAGTGTTGTTGCGTTGTGTTCTCCATACAAGTGCCTCGGTCGACGACCGTCAGGCAGAGTAAGTACCCAGCTTAAGAGTGTGATTTTGAGCCATCAAGTGGTACCCCATAAAAGTCGGGCAAGTCCTGGCACCACCACTGACCATAGCCTTACGGTAACCACGATGCAGTTGTGGTTGTATTAATTCCCCTAATCCACCACTGGTAAATTTACTTGTTGTATTTATCCACATGTTTAAGAACAATTTTAGCTTAAGTGGTTGAAAACCAGCAACAAGGTATATTTTGAAAGTTGTCCCCTTTAAAGTAAACTAAAATTTTCATTTTAATGTTGTTGAAATTATGCTATTGGTGGTGTTTTTATTTTTGTCAATGTTGATAGCTTTTGGATAGTCTTTTGTGATAATCCAAAGTCATTTGAAATTACCTTAATTGAGGATGAATCATCTAGTTGTAATTCTAAAGTTTTATAGCATATGTAGGCAAAACCAAACTCTGTTCTCATTTAAAAAAATTATTATAACATAAACATACATTGACAATACTAAAGCCAGGCTTTGGAGAGCAAAACATTTTTCATTAAGTTATACTGTAGAACATTTTTCCAAGACAAAAAACAGTTTTGACAAAAAATTCAGAAACGATATGAGACATATATTTTTGAATATTGAAAAATTGGGGAAAAAAGGGCATAACAACCCTTTTATCTACATTTTCCGTCAGTTTTTAAATATATAAACTTGTATCTCATTAACCATTCCCAAGCGTTGATGTTGTACGAGACTCAAAAGTGCCTGGGGGTTAGATCTGTTCAGATATTCTATAGTTCTCTGTGGTCTAAACTTGATAGCGAGTGGTTGCAGGTTTGAATCCCACCAGAGGCACTTTTTTTATACAAATGAAATAAAGGAACTTTTCATTGATGATACGATTATTAAAACATGTTCCTCTTTGAGCACTGTTATAATTTATCTATTTGTTTGTATGAAGTAAATAATTCAATTCAACTTCTTTTATTGCTGCAAGTGCCATCTTGGGCCAATATCTGCACAAACACAATGAAACACCAAAATACAATATAATGGTAACTATGCATCAAAGGGTAGGGACTTTACTCTACAAAGCTTTCGATCTGCATACCGTACCCCAAACCTACAGGAACTATGACGTTACTCTGCTAAGGCCTTAATGACCTGCATATACACCAACCCTAATGGAACTATCACAGCCAGGGTAGGGATGCTACTCTACTAAGGCTTTAATGACCTGCATACCCCAACCCTAATCAAACTATGCATCACATACACAGGGGAGGGACGTTACTCCACTAAGGCCTTAATAACCTGCATACCCCAACCCTAATCGAACCTATGCATCACAGTGTAGGGACATTACTCTACCAAGGCCTTAATGACCTGGATGTTTACTAAAAAAGGGCCTAATCACCCGCATACCTTAACCCTAATCGAACTACTGTATGCATCAGAGGGGAGGGATGAATTGCATCACCAACCCTAATCGAACTATACACCACAGGGTAGGGACGTTGCTCCACTAAGGCCTTAATGACTTGTCCCCTCAATATGGGTTTTAATTGGCACACACCTCCATGGTCATACAATGAGGACATAGAGTTATAGTTTTATTTCAGTTGACAAAAAGTATATTGTACTGTATTGTATTGGACAACTTGACATTGGTTAGTGTCCTGTTAAAGCACCATTCCTGGCAAATTTTCAGTTGTTAAAAAAAATCTGATTTTTATATATGTTATAAAGCTTTATAAATATAATTTAACTGAATATAGTTTAACTGAATTTAGACATTCCTAAACATGAAAAAAAAAAAAGTAAAATGAGACTGAAATTTGATTTTTTTTGTGTTCCACACAAAAAATAAATGCGGATGAATATTTTATGTTTGATTTTGTGATAGGTCTGCGAAGAAATATTGTAGGCGCCAGAAACATCAGCCTATCCAACACTGCTAGGCTAGGCCTAGCCTTACCTCGATATAGGTTCTGTTATCACACATAAAAACAGCTGACATGATATTTTCTGTTGCTAGTATTGACACTTGTGAAATATAATATTTCATCAGAATTATTTCAAATTTGTTAAAACAATGATTCTGACTGAGATTTTGACAACTAAACAAACATATATCTGGCTTACCCGATCGACCGCAGTGTGCAAGATGCGAAGATCAAAAACTAATCTCATTAGAGAGCGGGCGCAGTCTATCGACTGTATAAAGTATACATAAAAGTGAGAGCATTCCAGCGGATGCAATCTACAGCCACTAAATTTGCCTAGTAACGAAGAATTCCTCGAGAAAATGGTAATCTCCTATGAGAAATAGTCTGTATTTCTCTTTTTTTAAATTCTTTTGTGTAAAATTAGTATTTTTCCATGGTTTATAATATTTAGAGTAATGCATATGTGTGTTTTCTAAAAAAAAAAAAACCTTTTTTTAGTGAAATTTTGCCAGGAATGGCACTGGGGTCTCTTTATTTTTAATCTTGTAGTTATTAGTGATATACCAACTCTGGTGATACAATAAAAAAAAATTCTCCTTATCGGTGTGAATATGTATTGATTTGACAATTTGGCACGCCTAGAAAGCGTCCCCATCCCCTTAATGGGTGTGTCCAACTCTGGTGATACAATAAAAAAAAAAAAAAAAAAACTTTTTTTAGCGAAATTTTGCCAGGAATGGCACTAGGGTCTCTTTATTCTTAATCTTGTAGTTATTAGTGATATACCAACTCTGGTGATACAATAAAAAAAAAAAGTCCCCTTATCGGTGTGAATATGTATTGATTTGAGAATTTGGCACACCTAGAAAGCCTCCCCATCCCCTTAATGGGGGTGTCCAACTCTGGTGATACAATAAAAAAAAAAAGTATCCCATTAGATGTGAAATAAAATGTATTGATTTGACAATTTGGCACACTCAGAAAGTGTACCCCATCCCCTTAATGGGGGTGTCCTGTTAATCGGGTTGGCCTTTATTCTTAAAATATACATTTTCCCTTGTTTCACAGAAAAATGTCCCCTTTATAGGGTGTCTCAAAAAGCGGTTCTACTGTGGTAGTACATACAGTATTTCAGTTTCTCTCCATGACTGATCAGATGTAATTTATCATGCTTGGTTGCACACAAGGTGAACCCAGATTATATTTGTCACAAGGTTAAAGATAAAACTCTGGAAAAACCCACTTCTGTAGCGCTGTACATAGAACCACTTCAGGTTAACCAGGGAGTTGTTATAGGCTCAACTCAACAGAGTTAAAATAACAGGTTTGATTAATTTGTTTCAACATATTTGTTTTGTTTTATGTTTTTAGAATATTAGCACATACTGTACCAGTATCAGTAGCCCCTACTGCGGCTGTCTATTGTAGCCATCCATTGTAGCCAGTTCATGTTTCATCCAAACTTTCATAATTGAAATCAATACGCCTTTCCAGGAATTGGAAGACATCTTGAAAGCGATGAAAAACCACCCTAGTCAGTTATGTGTAACCAACAAAAATAAAAGAGGCTTTGAGGCTAAATTCCTGACTTCATGTTATTAAAAAATGTGCAACTCCATAACGGATGGTCTTATGTTAATATTTTTTTCTGGGAAATGTTCTTAAAAAACTATTCTACACCACTCTAAATGTTTTTGACCTCTGAAATAAAGATGGATAAAGAAAAGCTGATCTAAATAAATGTACTGTATTTTAAATAGGCTTACAGTATTATACAGTACAGTACTATTTCAGTTACCATAATATGACTAAGGTTTTCAAAATCTTCTTTCCAAATCTTTTCCAATTTCTATTTATAAAACATTGCTCTTACCCTGGGATTCTTAAAACTAGCTTTAGTTGTAGTCCGAGCTAAAACGTCAAAATTACGTCATTTTGTATTCTTAAAATGAACTTCGACTAGTACTACGACTAAATCACTCGAACATCGACTGAAATGATACCTCTGCAGGGCGATTTTTTTAGTCAGCCTAGGATCAGGCTAAATCGCTAACTTGAAATATTTACCCCACTAAAAATATGCTTTTTGTAACTCACGATAAAGTAAAACGAATAAAAACGATTGTATACGTATTTTTTAGCTTTGCCAGAGGCGGCCACATTATTGTTGTGAATAGGTATCCCAAACTATGTTATAATAATGAAATTTATTTATCCAATGAGATGACAAGATATTGTTCTATGTTAAAACATATTTACTGCAATACTGTTCACAGGAATAGTTCAAGATGGCTACCAGTGAATTGAATCAGTTTCTTGAAGAAGTTGATGAGAAGGTCCTGGAGTGCACCATCTGTTTTAAAAGACTTCAAAATCCTAAATCTCTCAACTGCCTCCATAGTTTCTGTTTGGCATGTCTGGAAGACTGGGTTAAGAAAAATGGTAAGCTGACTTGCCCAACTTGCTCAAGATCTTACCCCATTCCGACTGGAGGAATTCAGAAGCTTCCACCAAATACTTTCATAGACAATTTATTAGAAACAATAGAAAAAATTGCCACAAGAGATCAGATGAAATGTGTTTGTGCTAAAGGGCAGGCAAAATACTACTGCCAGGAATGTAGACATTACTTGTGCTCACCTTGCAGTGTATACCACAAAATATTTCCTATGTCAGCAAACCACAAGCTGCATACAGTGGAGGATGTGCGATCAATGACGCCACATGACTTTGCTGCGTTACATCCGCCGCTGTGTTTTCTTCACAACAAACCTTTGGAATTCTACTGCACGGATTGTAAAACTCCAATCTGCATAAATTGTACATTTATGGACCACAAAGTCTGGGAAGGGGAACACAAACCCATCTGTATTTCAGATGCATTCCAGGAATTTAAAGAAACATCTGAAAAATTGAAGGAAGCTGTTGTTCAATGTAAAAACAAATTGCAAGATGGCCTCAAAATTGTAACTTACAATGCTACAAATTTAGAGGAAAGTAAAGATATAAGTCTAAGAGATATTGATAATCATGTGAAAGTAATGGTCAAGGAAATCAAAGCGAATGGAGACAAACTGAAAAATGAAGTAGAGACGATCTACAAAACGAAGAAGGCGGCAAATGATGAACAAATGGATGAACTGAGAATAACAATATCTGATTTAAATACAAAACTGAGTTTTCTTAATCAGTTATTAAAGAGTGATGAAGCTACAGCAATGCAATCAAGTGAAAGAATAATTAAAGCACTGAAGGACAGAATCAATGAATTGCCAAACATGGAGCCAAATGATAACAAACAAATTAAATTCTTAATAAATAAACACCAAATTGATTCATGGCAACAATGTGATATTGGAAATGTTACTCAAGTGAGGACAGCAGACTGTCTACAGTTAAAAGGAGTGGAATCTGTGACGCAAGGTCAGACAATTGTCATTAAAATAATAAAAACAGAAGAATGTGTAATACATGCAAATCAACTTAATGCAACCTGGACACATCCTACGGGAGAAGTCAACATCCCAGAAGTTCAGGAAAATGACAATGGAGATTGTTTTGTTACAGGAAAATGCACAAGTCCAGGTGTTTGCCAACTATATGTAAGTGCTGATGGAAAACCAATCAGGCAGTCACCAGTGATAATCAAAGTAGAGAAGGAAGGTTTAATAAATACTATTAGAATTGACAAAGCAGTTAGAGATGTAGTTAAGTGTGAAGATGATTACTTGTTGGTTTCATGTTTGACAAATGAAATACTCAAGTACAAGAAATCAGGAAAATACATTGACAAGGTTACACTACCACAAGGTGTGCAAGTTAACAGAATGTACAAAATGAAGAATGGTAACATAGCTTTTAGCGATTGGGATGATAAATGTATCAAGGTATGTAATATGAATGGTCAGGTCATCAAAACAATTGGTCAGAGAGAAATACAGAATCCATTTGGTATCCATGTAAATGAGGCATCAAATATTGGGTATGTAGGAATAGGTGAAGGTGTGTTCATATTTGATATTGATAGTACACAGAAAATCAGAGTTATAGGGAGATCAGGCTGCCAAGGCAATCAAATGAATGGAGTCATTGATGTTACTCTTCAAAATCAAGGATATCTGTTGGTATTGGAATATCACCAAAGCACATTAAAACTATATAATACTGAAGGATGGTTTTTGAAAACCCTTGTCATGGCAGGTGATGAAAATGGGAAGTTGCGGAATCCACGTGGAATAGTAGTTGATGAGGATGACAATATCATTGTATCAAGTAAAAATAAAATACAGTTATTTAGTAGAGATGGAAATTTCATTAAGAGAATTGATAAACAAGAAGATGAAATCATTGATCCAGACGGATTGATCATTTCATATCATCCACGAAGAGTTGTGGTAGCAAACAATAGTGACAAAACAATAAAAATATTTAATTATTAAAGTTTTTTGGTTTTTTTTTATTCAATATTTCACAAGTTCCTCAAAAGGTACAACCTTAATTTGTGAATTTTCTTCCCTTTAGTTAATCCAGTGTCAATTTTTTATAAGTAAATATTTTGACTTACAGACTTGACATGTTTCGCCTCTTGGCAAGAAGCATCGTCAAAAGTGAAGCGATGACAGCTCAAACCTTTCGATGACAAAATTCAAGCAAGAAAGCTTAATTGGTCAATATTAAAAATGTTTTGTTTACGATTAATAATAATGTGTTAGACTTTGTATATAGTAGCGCTTAATGCCAACAAGGTCTCTATCTAAGCACTTCACATTTCAATTGCAGGGGCGGATTCAGAGGGGGGCTAAACAGGCTTTAGCTCCCCCTAAAATTTGATAGCCATTTCTTTTTAACTACTTTTTGAAGGTCCAAATTAAAATATTGTTTAATTTTTTCTTCACACACATCATATTTATGGGCTAAACATTTTAAAGTACAGTTGTTTTTCAGTGATAAAATAAAAATGAAATATGTTTTTTAACCGATCAGCGGACAAAAACGTAGCTAAGAAAGCTGCTTTTGCCTTGCCTTCATGCTCAAATTTCGAAGCAAAGGCCATTGTGTAGAGGTCTCAACGTTTGTATAATACACTAAACTTTTCGTGTCGCACAGGTTTGTTCTTGTCTAGTCTTTCCTTGATTGCTTGCGGTCATAGATATTTGAATGTTTGTAAATAAACTAATAAACTAAAATTTTCGTGTCGAGCGAGTCGTTCTTGTCTAGTCTTGTCTTGATTGCTTGTGGTCAGAGCATGGGCGTCGATTGGTGGGGACAGGGGGGACGTGTCCCCCCACTTTTCAAAGTGCATGATATCGATTGTCCACCCCCCCCCCCACTTTTCACCAATCTTCTATAATTAAAACCCCACTTTTACAAGCGAATGGAAATAATAACAATTACGCATGACTCATGAATTTTGTCTGTTCACTTTTCTAAGTGCGGTACGTATTTTCCGGACCAAAACCAAGTAAAAACGCAATTGTTTAAACATTTTGTAACTATCTCAGAAACCCACTATATCGATTTTACGGGTGCAACAACTATCAGAGGCTAAATTTATTGTGAAAACAATGTACTGAACGTTGTTGAAATTGGAAGCATGTATCCTTATTAGGCCAATATTTTTACAAACTCAAAAGTGCAAAATTTCGAATATAAACGATTTATTCTTTTTGTATATTATTATAACCCGTACGTATATACTAGTGTTTAATATTATCTACATACATAGGATTACTGTTTTTTCTAATTTCACGTATATGATGTCTCCCTATTTCGATTAAGTGATAAGCCTACCAAAAGTTTACAAACTCCAGTGTTACATTGACGCAGTCTCCCAATGACGCCATAATAATCAGTTGCAGATTCAAGTGGGGCCGAGCCGGCCCTAATTTTTTTTTAATTATTTTTTTTAAATGGAAAAAAAACAAAGGAAAATTAGAATTAGAATTTAGGTCTGAGAGTGCCATTTCCGGCAATCTAGAGGTGTCATAATCATAAATGTTCTTACCTCATCCCCAAACATGGTGGGGCTGAAGTGGTAGTCTAGCTACACTCTCCATCTGTAAAAGTCCCTCTCTGGGCCCAGCTCTATTTCAAATTACTGGATCCGCCACTGGATATTTTAAAAATTTCGTATGGAAATAAATGTTAATTGCATTGCTTAAAATCAATTAAAATGCTATATGCGCCAGAGCTTCCGGGGCTTCGCCCCCCGGTCCTCAACCATTGCTTTGACCTACGGCCCAAGGCTTTATCTTTCATCTCGTCCCCCCACTTTCAGCCACAGATCGACGCCCTTGGGTCAGAGGCAGGTATTTAAACGTTTGTATGATACACTGAACATTTCGTGTCGAGAGAGTTGTTCCAGTTTAGTTTTTTCTTGATACTACTACTACATTTAAAACATATTTTAAGGGGAATTCTTTTGTCGTCTGAAGTTCTCCTTAACATTGTCAAATTTTATCTTTAGGGACAGTATTTTTATTATGGAACTGTTTTCACCCTCTTCATTGTCTTATGTTCCCCATGGCAACCCTTTCACCAGGATTTTTAAAGAATGGTGAAATTTCAGAAAATGTCCTTAGAATTTTAAGGGTGGTGCACAAAATTCTAAAGGGTGGATACAAACAATTGCTATTTTAGTACATAGCAAGTGACACGCTAAGTCTGTTTATTGACCTTGCATTTGCATTAATATTTTTTTGAAGCGTGGTTCCAATATTTTAAGCATGGCGTATAATTTGCCTTTTTAATATTTTTATTTAAATTATGTTGTTTCTGTGAGTATCTACGTGAATGAAAAGATATTTTTATCTGCCATTAAAGATCCTAGTTAATCGTTTTTCATATTATTAATTTATTTACATATATTCTTGTTATAATAATGATTTACTATAAATATTGTTTAACATTTACGGAAATAAATGTTGTTTAATGAATGAATAATTATTCAAATCCACTTGCACTACAACAACAACTAGGCATCAGTTA